AAATCTGACCCAATTAAAACAAATTCTGGAAGAACTTAACATTCAGATCTCTGACACCTTTCTCTTAAAAAAATGACAAAACCCGCCTCCCCCACCATTAATCAGCTTTAAATAATCTTACCTCTTCCAAGGATTTTTAATATCTAGATTAAAAAAGAAGCCCAATATTGTTCAAGGTTGAACAAATTATTTTATCTTTCACAGACAAAACAATTGTTCCCAAGAGACAGAATTCAGAATTTTCACTTACGCCATTCTTTTGAGTCAGCTCTCTACTATGGCTCTGACAGAAAACTTCATTTGAAAAAAAATCTTCTCACTGTACTGACTTAAACAGTCAGAATGAAAACAGTACGCCAGAGGGAGTATTGGTGAGACCCCATAGTGAAGTATTGTATTAGTAATCGCCACATTAATTAATTAATTACTCAATAATTGCCACATGAAAAAGTTGGAAAAATGAAGAAAGAAAAACTACAAAAATCATTTAAGACAAAATATCTATCTATGCATGACTTAAACATGCTCAATCTCTTAAATTTATCAAGAACAAATAAATATTCAGTGTTTGTTTATGTCGGTATATACCAGATGCTAAACCACAACCGTTTAAGGCAAAAGGTGAAAGAAGAATTAATGGCTGGAAATAGAAGCCAGGCAAATTCAAGTTTAGAATTAGGGACAATTTTTAACAGTAGGATGACTGGCTGTTGAAGCAGCCTTCTCACAAGTGGGGAATTTTCCATCTTTTAATATTGACAGTCAGCACATCCTGGAGTCAGAACAGTCCTGTAATCCATAAAAATTCAGACTAGGTGATCTAGTGCTTTCTTTGGGCTTTATTCCCATGAATCCTATTTCTTCTCATTTACAAGACAAACAAGAAAGCAGAGAAGACTCTGCTTTCAGAAAACCATTAATTAAATAAACAAACAAGTGACCTAACAGACCAATTCAGGTGTAGTGCTTTGTATCAAGAGCACTACAGTGTATGCTGAAGTTTAACAAACGTAAGAGCTGTCCAGATAGGGACATATTTGTCCAGATAGGAATTATACTAAATAATTTTGCCTTTCCAACTATAAAAAGGTATTTGTTGCAAAAATTGTAGTTTCTCAAATATTTTGAATATTCTAGATGCTATATAATCTTGGAAAGACTTGCCTTCTGATTTTTATATAACCTGTGCATCGCTTTTTTGTGCGCATATATAGCAATATAAAATAAATACAGACAAAAAAAGCCAAAAAAGCTTTAATACTCTGAACAATACTTTGAAAAACACCCATTGTCTACAGAAGTAAAAAACGTAGTTAGAATCAAAAAAGTCTGGATGTTTCAGTGATTTCTTAAAATAATAAAATAACAAGGGGCCACTCCATCATTTGTACTCATTTTTAATTGTATTAATATGTACATAGTAGTCCAGTTAATTCCTTAAATAATTCTTTTCCTATACTTCTATGACAACACAGCACAATATTATGTGACAGTTTTAAATAAAACATCTACTAAAATGTTAAATATTCTCACAAAAAAGTCTAAAATACCCAACCTACATATGAATTATCTTACATTAAACAAGACAAGAAAACTTCTTAACGTATTTAGGTGTCCAGCTCCAGTGAAATTAATAGCACCTATACATTCTTACATAACGATTTGTTTAAGATACTTAAGCAACTAATGAAGCCTGGTTTCTACAGACGTGGGTCCTATACCTCCCGTTCTGGGACAACAGTCCCAGATCTTCTCCGTGACCTCATTGTCTGTCTCCACACATCCTAGACTTTCATGGTTAAGTTCCTCACACTTGCCATGTCACTTACCTACTTCTCATGCTAAATCCAAAACACAGCACTGTACCAGCGACTAGGAAGAAAATTAACTCTATCCCAGCTGAAACCAGGACACAGTGAAATACATAATTACTCACACTGGTGCTGCAGAAGTTAACACCGCATGGACAGAGGGAGCTGGATTGTTCCAGGGCTTATACATGTACTGCCCAAGTGCAAAGACAAGTCTCCTTCCCTTTTGACAACTATGGAAACTCATGTTACAAATTTGACCTCACCTACAAAAGTGCAGAAAAGGGCAAAATACTAACCTACTGTCTATTTTGTAGAGACATTGATGACCAGGATAGACAAAAATCAGACTGGTCTTGAGCGGTTTTGTAGATTAGATGTTTTTCCTCACCCACCCAGAAAGTCTCTTGCTTCTCTACCGTCCACGTTAAAATTTAAATAAGTTCTCCACATTTATTGTTCAGCCCCGATTGTCCCACACCCTTCCTGCACTGGTGGTTAATGGGAACAATATGCCAGGAAGAACACTGCCAGTTCTTGCCACCAATGTCCGTACAGCCTGGCTGCTGCTCTAGTTAAACAGTTCAAAAGGTATAAAAAATGACAAAAAGTTGCTTTAATTCTAACATGTTGCATGAAAATATTGTCAAAAGAAGTATGCTACACATTTAAAGGCATAGTGTGAACTGAGTTTGTCTAGACTAATATTTAGGGATTTTGCTAACCAGGATTGACTGAGATTACAAAAACTGATGTCTACAGCACCAACCTAAGCTTTTTTTAAAGAGGAAACACCTTTACATCATTAAAAGTCTGCTTCCTGAGCTTATTTTTTTTCATGAAGAAAGTGTTCTTCCTTCCCCTTTAGGACAAGTACTTTCTAGAAAGAAACCATCGTCTTATTCAGCTCACAGGGTCGGGACAACTTGCAAGGGAGGCGAGAAGCAGGCAGGACAGCCACCGTTCCCCCCGCGGTTTCCCCCCCAGACACAGGCTGCCCGGAGCAGCC